ACTATTACGTCATTATCGCCTACAAGCTTTTGTAGCAAGTCATAATTTATTTGTTCTAGGTGTATCATAGAATCAACAACAACCTGGAAAAAAATAACGGTACAGGCAAAAACAGGAAGAGAGTCTGATCCCCGGGATAGAAATTTCAAATCCAACACGGAAGTCACTCACAAATTCAAAACTGGAGGCACCTAAAACGGAGAATTGGCCGATGGCATAGAAAATGGTAGATTTGGAGAAAATTATATTGGCCGTAGTTATTCCAATCATATAAGTTGCCGAGACCATAAGGCATTTATTCAGGAATGCCATATGGTCTCGGAATGCCAAAGAATGCCAAGTAGAAACACTACTTGACAGGCATACTGGAGACATATCACTGGCTACCAAACTACTGCATCGATATCAATATTCGATCAGGTCAAGTATGCAACAAAAACGACTTTTTGCTGCGTCAAGTAAAAGCCAGAATATGTCTATGAGAACAAGCTACTTTTTTGGACTTTAAGGACGCATTTGTTACCATATTAATATGTCCCTATGACATATTATTATGTCATATTGACATATTATTATGTCAATAGAACCAATCATTCTAGTATTGAAGAGAAGAGGGGTTGAACATAAAAATTGCAGGTGGATAGATAGACTATAGGATTTAAAGAAGTTGGGAAAGTTCATAAGAGAAACAGTAGTGGCACGGGTGGCAAGGGTTTGTCCTCACGTGGGAGGGGGGCTTTGTGCCTACTGTTATGAAATCTTGTAATGATGTTGCAATTGATGTTGTTCACTTTTTTCCAAGTTTTTGTTTTTCCCCCTTTTTAGCCCATTTCATATAATAGGCGAGTCGTTGAGCGACTTTCGGTCAATTTTTCTCTGCGAATTCAAATTGAACCAAAGCGTTGCTGAAACAGCCCGAAAAATCAACCAGGTATTTGGTACTGATAGTGTTAATGAACCCACTGTTCGACGTTGGTTTACAAAATTTCGTTCCGGAGATTTCAGCCTAGAAAATGAGTCGCGAAGTGGTCGACCTACAGTAGCTCAGGACGAGGATATGAAGACCCTGGTGGAGACTGTTCCATCACAAACGGTGCGTGGAGTTGCAAAATAACGGGGCGTCAGCTCTCATGCGGTTTTTGATGGCTTAAAACGTAACGATCTGGAGGTTACATCTTGCTCAACAACAAAAATGCTTAGTCTCACTGTAGATCACAAACTTACATGGAACCACATATTGACCTACTCTGCGATAAATTGAAAACAAAATTGTTACGCACTAAGATTCATGCGAAATCACTGCAGCAAAGAAGTTTTGCTAAGTCTATACTATGCGACGATTCATTCTCCTGTAAGATAAGGAACTTTAAACTGCACAAAAGTTTTTATACTCCAGAAATATGCTATCAGAATGTTTGATAATCTAGAATGATAACAGACATGTAGAGATTCCTTCAAGAAATTGAGAATTCTCTTGCTGGTTTATATATTGAATGAAGCATGTATTTATGTTTTCCAAAAAAATCTTCATTTGAAACGAATCGACAAAATCATGGTTACTCAACTCGATCGTTAAACTTACTAGTAACTACTGTACGTCGAATAGCATTTTTTCAAAAAAGTCATCTCTACCTTGGACTAAAGTTTTTCAATAAGTTTGATAGTAAAATAAGATACTCGCATAATATTTCGATTTTTAAAGCACGATTGAAAGCATATCTAACCAAAAAAAATGTTATACCATCAATGAATTTCTGCAAATAAATAATTCTCCATTTTAGGCGGGTAGCTGTTATTAAAATGTTCTGCCTTTTCATATGTAAATAAATGTAAAGAAATTTCCAAAGGAATAAAGAAAGCAATTGATAAAAAAACTATTTACAAAGATGTGTGGATCATGCATAGAAGTTACTTTCAGATACAAACTGGAAAAAAGGCCCTTTCGAAACAACTACTTTCGTATAAACATTGAATTGAGGTTGAGTTGAAAAACAGCCTTGGCTGATACTTCGCTCATTAACCTTCATACTAAAAGTTGTATTTTTTTATTCTTTTTGTCTGTTTTGATTGTACTTATTGCTACCATTATTATTATAATTACACGAAAAAAGTACTCTCGAAACCCTGATGGGGTGTAACATATTGAAACCATTCTGTAGGTGATCTACTCGATTGATTTAAGCATGTTCCTGCTGCTGAATGAATGCGAAATATCTGTAAGACTAACCCCTTTGAGGCATCTTGCATAAATATCTGTCGGATATAGCTCAATGTCCAGCACGGCATTAGCCAGGGAAGAATATTTCCGGCAGGCATTTACCAGAACCTATTTATCGATAGATGAAGAATCGCCAATTGTAGAGCTTTATAATAGGTATAACGTGAATAAGCGCGCGCATATTAACTACATCAATGATATTGTGAGGAAGGTCATGACTGAAATAGAGATTATCTGCTGCCAAGTTCATAAAATTTAGTGGGTTTCACTTCGCCGTTATCGGACAGCTATAACAGATAACAGTACAAGAGAAGATGCCAGGAGGCAGAAAGGAAATTATGTTTCTTCAGGAAATTATTTGTCTTGAGAAAATTATACATCTCAAGGTGGCGGCGCAGCATATTGATCAGAATATTATCCGAGTATGTTGAACTCTGTGGCCGGTAAGAAACTTCACTTTTCTGAAATCGTGGCCAGCAACAAATGCATTACTCGGATGGCAAACTATTTAGAACGAGTTTTTGTTATGTCACAAAAATTTCAAATGAAATTGATAACATAATATAAGTATTCACGACACTCTAAAGAGTTTTTTACACTAAAACCTGGTTCCGCAATAGACAAGGTTTCAAATTCCTTAGTGAGACACTTTGCTGTTTGGTAGGTTATAGTTCATATAACATACAAAAACATGGTTCTGCAAGAAGGTGAGATTTTGGTTTCTTTTGATGTTAGTTCCTTATTTCACAGCGTCCTTTTTCCACAGACCTTGCAATACCTCAGGGAATTACTAGAGAAAAATAATTTCAATAATAACGAAATCGATGAATTCGTTTCTCTTACTAATTTGTGTATGAAACAAAATCGGTTCCAGGTTTTATGAACAACAGGAAGGAATGGCCATGGGAAATCCCTTGTCCCCCTACCTGGCAGACCTGTTCATGAGCAGATTCGAAATGGAAACTAAAGAAAAGTCAAAGTATTTTCCTAGGATTTGGCTAAGGTATGTGTATGATATTTTCGCGATATTTGATACCAAAAAATCGAATATTGAGGACTTTGTTTCCTTTTTGAATAATAGATGTCCATCAATAAAATTCACGTATGAGTTAGAAAATAAGGGACAACTACCATTTCTGGACGTTTTGGTAATGAGGAGCCAATATGGAGGGTTAGAATACGATATATTTAGAAAAGAAACAAGCACGTACAGGTATATTCCTGACAGTTCACATCACTGTGGACAGCACAAACTTGCTGGGTTGAATTTTTTAGTGCATCGTCTTTTGACTTTCCCTCTAACACATGATAGGTTCACAAAAGAAAGACGTACTTACAATACAGGAAATAGCAGTCACTAACGGTTTCTCGAGGGGTATTGTAGATGACATAATAAGGAAGAAAAAGTTTAGGTTGAGAATGAACGAAATCTCGACTTTCAGAAGGGACAAAAACCAAGATAAATACATCTCACTTCCATACCACCAATATACGAAGAACTTTGGAAATATTTTCAAGGAACTAGGTATGAAGGTGGTTTTTAAAACAAGTCATACACTATGGAGCCTTTTGGGAAGTCCAAAAGACAAAGTCGAGAATTCGGAAAAGTCTGGAATTTACGAAATTGAATGTATGGACTGCGATGCAAAATATTATGAAGTGTTGCCAGAATGAAAGCGACAATTATGAAGATGAATTTCAAAAAGTTAGTATTTTTAGAATTAAACATTAATAAACGCTTTACTTGCATATGGTCTCAAACCAACTGAACATTATTTACTCAATCAAACATTATTAAATCAATTAACGGGAATGAAGTTTTGGAGACAACTTATGTGGAACTACAGTGTCTTGTATTTGCACAGTAGATTCTGGTAAGTGTCTGCCGGAAAACAACTACTTCCCTGGCTAATACCACGCTGGAATTGCATTACATTCGAAAAACATTTATGCAGAGGTTAGTCTTGCAGATGTTTATCGTTTATCAACCAGCAGGACAACGCTGAAATCAATCGAGTAGATCACTTACAGTCTGGTTTCGAGGTATTGTTTTTCATCAGTCTATAAAAGTGTTTTCAGAATGTTGTATAGAATAGAAATTTATTCCCAATGGATAAAATTAGATTGAGAACTGAAAGAATATAATAAGACATTATTAATTTTGTGAAATAGACCTAGTGGTCTATTGAAATTTTATTTTCTGGTAAAGAATGCTGTCACAAACTATAAATTGAACTGAAGTGGATTACAGTTCTCTACAAAATGGTGAATTGAAGGCAGCACCACAAATTATAGTGTATCTAGAATTCATTTCTCGCTCCTTCTAAATATTGAAAAAAGGAGTTTATTACAATTATTATTTTCGTAATGCTTTAGTTTTTGGATTCAAGCTTCAAAGTATTATTTTTGCCTCGAGACTGCCACACACCGTCCAAAAATTACGTTTCACCCTAGGTTCATTAATTATTTACCTTATAGTAAACTGTTTTTTTATCATGTGAAACTTGAAACATATAAATGGAAAACGTGATTATCACATTCGGACATTATGAAATTGTTAAAAAATAAGCATTTCATAAAATATTGAAGAGTTTTTGTAAATATTGTTGCCAATTGTGTGGAGCAAATATATTTGGAAAGTGAACAAGAAAAGTAAAATACTATTTTATAAAGAATTATGATGGATTTTTTTTGTTTCTTTTTTCACGTATGGGAAATAGCGATAAGGACGGTTTTTTGAGTATTGTTGAAGTGATATGAATATATTTGATTCTTAACTTACCCTCACAATGAAAACCATCTCCTGTATATCCTGGAAAACACGTACAGGAAAAGCTACCCAAAGTATTGGTACAGTGGGCAAATACATCACACGGCCTATATTTACATTCGTTTTCGTCTGCAAACAAAAATAATAATGAGAAAAATTACTTAATGGGCCTGACCTGAGTTTTTTCAATAACTTTTGAGACTAGTTATGTATGTATAATGGTTACATCCCTAGTAGATAAAACAAAGTTATTGGAGTTAGAATCAAAATATTTCCCACGATGGAAAATGGGGATTTACTCGAGCGTCACTGAGACATATTAGGTTGCAAAGCTTAGATAATAAGAAGAAAAAAATGTTATATAATATATACCTTTTCATCGGTGGAAGAAGCGGATATATATTTTTAAATAGGTAAAAAATACTGTTGCATGGACATACTCGAGCGCGTCAGATATTGATAGCATCAATGCCCTACGTATTTTTATTAATGTTGGTATCTTAATCTGATCGTTTGCATGATGTGGAAGGTTGTACGTAAGGGTTAAAAGTGAAAAGAAAAAAAAATTAATCGGGTGCGTCAGATTTTCTAAGGGGGTGTTAAGTGCAACGAAAAAAGCTCTTATTTAATAATCTGACGATTTTGATCTGACGCAAACTCGCGGCCATTATTATAATGTGCAAAAAAAATTCGTCATTTTGAAATACTCAAGCGCGTCAGATTAAGATATATATGGTTCATCTTTATGTTTTAGACGTGCTGTCTCATAATCTGACGATTATCTAGAGGGATTCGCTTGATATGACAAAAACAATATTAAAAAAAAATGTAATTCATTAAATTCAAATAATTTAAAAGCTCAGGATATAGCATGCCAATAAATAAGTGTATGTTTTTTAAGTTGAATACTTGTATTCATAAGAAAATAATAAAAAAAAAATGCTCAAAAAATTCAATTTTTCATAATCAATTGATTAATTAATGAAGAAAAGAGAAATGAAACTTTCTATGGTTTTTACCACTTTTATTTGTGGTAAAACAGAAAGTTTTATTTATTTTTTCTTCATTATGATTTCCTACCACGTAGTAACGGCTACATCCATCAATTAATTGATTAATTAATCATCATCTTCATCACCAAGGAGTCTCTGTGATCAGCTGTGATGGCGTCATGGCAACAGAATTCTGAGTGGGGACGGAGTGAGAGAGTAATAGATAGACAAAAAATAAATAGAGAATAGAGGAATAGAAACTCGGAGAGGGAAATATAGGTATCACACAGCTGCAGGCATTAAACTTTATCGACGAATTTTTGTTATTTCGGCTTGCGGAAATCGTCAGACTATAAATTGTTGGTTATCCTTGAATTATTTCCTTCAAAATAAAACAAAAAATTAGCTACGCTCGGGAATGTCGAAATGACGTTATTTTTTTACAACTTTGCTGCACTTCCTTTTCTTTACGTCACTCTCAAATTGTCAGATTACTGGAATATACACTTTTTAGCAGGTATTTAAGTCACCCTACCTTAATCTGACGCGCTCGATAATTTCTGATGATCATTTTTTTACCAATCTGATCCTTTATCCCTCACAGGCGGCCTTATATATGAAGCTCATATTTGGTGGAGGTACTTAACCGGGTTCAAGGTATCCCCCTGTATATTAATGTGCCGCGCTTATGTAAATCCCGAAATCCCCGCTTGGGCTCCCATATTAATACTTCATATAAACATTTGATAATTGAAGGAGTGGATATTTAGTTAATGAAATTTGAAATTTTGTTAGTTTTTCTTTTGAGAGCGGCATGATTTTCATTTTTTATATATCCGAGCTACGAGTATCTGCTGGGATTGTTTTTCTCTTTAGTTTTCATTGAAGTGTTGAATATTAATTTTCAAAACGTTATCTATTCTAGTAACACTTCATTGAGAGATATTCACTAGACAGTTTACGAAACGGCAACACCTGTTTCACTATACAATAGCTTCCCCAGGCGTGACTATGTTTTTTCCATTAACCAGCTATTGCACCCATACGAACGACAACCCTCAGAAGGCAAAACCTGTGCCAGCTAAGGACTAAAGAGGTCTTACCTTTCAACATGTGATTCCTAACACTGACTAAACTATATTAAATCAGTGCATTACATAACAATTTGAATTATTTGACCTTGTACCTACTTTATAACTGACAGTTTCACCTGAATTTAGGTATAAACTAATTGAAAATTTGAACATAATGAAAAGAATTTCACCAACTCATTGAAGGAACATGTAATTCTACATTGGAAAACAGAGGAAAATAATTTAATTCTATTCGGTCATTTCGTGAATTTTTAGACTTCTTGAGTTTCAAACCTTTCTCTTTCAAATTAATAGTTCATAGTTGCTGAACCATTTTTTTGTCAATAGATGGCTTGCAAATGTTGAATTGATTATCATATTCAAGAAACTACTTCTATGTTTTTTCATTCTTTAATATATAATAACTTTATTCACAACGTATACAGATTAGAGTACAATTAAAACAAAATATGTGAACAAAGTGGTTTGGCGATAAGAGCAGAGCTCTTGTTTCGCAAGAAGTTATAAAGAATATGTATGTGAAAAGGTTCTCTCTACTTTGCTAATATAAAGTATTGGCAAGAACCACGCGTTCTTGTATTGTTTTGAATCAATTTTCTCAAATCATTATTTGTTCTGTAGCCCACGTCCTAGATATGTCAATGCCCTTTAACGCACACTATCGTTCCTTGAAGTTGGGTAGACCAGGTTAAAGGCTTGTTTTCGTAATTTTCTGAAAATAATGAAGTCGATAATATCTAGCTTTTGACCGTTGTTGACAGCAGTTTGTTTGATGAAACTCAATTTTCTCTGAATATCGTATTCTGACAGTGCAATATTCAATAGTCTGTGGAGCATACTATTGAATGATGCTACTTCATGCTGATAGGGATGTGTCGATATCCCAATACCATTTCCCATATTGAAAAATATATTTAACAAAGGGAAATAATTCAATTTTATTCAGTCATTCAGTGTAGTTTCAGAATTCTTGAATCTATTAATTACTGAGCATTCCAAAAGATTGAGTTTCAAGTCTTCTTCTTCTATATTCTTTCATTCTTTGTAAAAAGAGTCTCCCCATTTCGCCCATATAAATTTTTGGGCAAGAACCACAACTCGACTCATACACTCCTGATCTATCCAACATTGATTTCGGTATTGTTGCTATTGTTTTCAATGAATTTGCTCAAATTACTATTTGTTCTGTAAGCCATGTTCAAGTCTTTTTTTTCATAAAACTAGGGATGGTATGAGTGGGTATACCAAAGTATGTCGCTCATTATCGTTTCTTGAAATGGATAGACTCGGTAAATGGCTTGTTTTCATAGTTTTTTGAAAATAATGAATAAAATAATATCTAGCTTGTAACCGTTGTTGACAGCAAATTGATAAACCTCCGTTTCCTCTGACAATTACTTTCTGACAGTAGAAACGGAAAAACAGATTTTGAACAGATACTATTGAATGCTACTACATTATACTGATAGGGATGTGTCGATGAATTACGTATGACAATGTCCGCAGAAGACGGTTTGTGTTAAATTATAAAATCATCAATTTTTTGTGAAAAAAATCGAACTTGAAATATGATAAATGTAAGATATGGTCAAAAATAAAAGACATGAGATTTACAACGTTTTTTATAGTTACAGAAGTTTATTACTATGCAATTTTCATACAGGTTTGCTTCGAGTTTATTGCCTGATTTTAACGTATATAATCAATACATATTACAAGATTACAGCGATTTATTAGATTTTAATGGTTGATAGCAAAGGAGGGTATAAAATTATAATGGATAATTACGCTCTAGCAGCTGCAGATTTGAGTAGTTCATAGATACAGTTATATTTGTCGTACATCGATGAGTTTCTTAGGTTAGTACGCTCATAACTGAGGGCTTAATGCGAGAAGTGTCTAGATTAGAGATAACTTGTGACAAATGTGTAAGATGGGTGATAATTATCAAGGCTGTTGTAGAGGCCTTGGTAGTGTAATTATAATTAACTACGCATACTGTTAACTTGGAATATCTTGACGATTTATTCTTGTAATTAAATGGTGCACATCGTGATATAATATTACAATACCTATATTTTCAATCGTTTTTCTTTTCTTACCTGGCACTTCGCAACTACATCCGCCATAACCGTCATTGCAGTAACACTGGTTATCTAGACAAGCACCATTTTGGCACACGGTACCATCCTCCTTTCGGCAGTCATCTGCAAAGTAAAATTTAAAATTATTTACTGCCTACGTATAACAAAGGAGCTTGGTTTTAATTTTAATTGAATACAAATTGAAATTTATTGTCTTGTGTTTAGCGAAACACAGAATCGTGAACTATTAAATCCGAGCTGGTCAGAGGTCAAAAGTCTTACAGAAAAAACAACCGGATTGTGAGGTAAATTGAATTGGAAAAAAGAAAAGCTGCACGATTGCGGAACGTGAATATTCCGTCGAGTCCCAGACTTGAGATTTCTCTTAGGGTAATAAAATGTTCAGCAGAAATATTTAGTAGAAACAATCTTGGTTCACAACTTCACATCCGTTACTATGTGAAGAACGATTTGAATTTCTGGAGGAATACCTACACACAAATCAAATAATCCAATGGAAGGTAAGACATTCCTGCAATAATTTACGAAAAAAATCGTCATTTTCTTACCACCTTTGCCATCACGTATGCTTATATATTTTTTTCAAAATTTGAATGAATCAATGGCCGTCCCACTGATCCTAGAAATTCCTATGCAATACATTTTGGATTAGTAACACAGAAAAATGTAATGAAGTTGAAAGATTCCCCGATTGATAATTCTTGTGATTTCATAGGGACTGTCATAAGGTACAACATTACACACGTTATTTAGCATGATAATTTAGCTAGCAATTGCCTTAACCTTAACCACGTATTATATTTCGTAACTCTTTGGCCCACCTTCTTTAGAGATCATTGCTTTCTTAGAATGTCTTGTCGTACACTCCATATTGAGTAAAAACATTCCGGAATATGAAAAAATGACGAACAATGGAAATACAACGCAACGGATAAGAGGGTAATTAGAGGTATCCAAATCATCTTTCAGCGTTCCATAAAAAAATGTCCACTTTTTCATTTTCTGTTGAAACTGACATCATATTTCTAAAGAGGCGATTGCAGATATTCTATTATTCTCAAACTATTCAAACAATGAATAGAAATCACATTTCGGCTTGAACAATTCTAGAGCTTCTATAAAATCTTTGAATATCTGCTGGTAACTTGAAGAAGACACATTCTTGGAGACTGTAGGTCTTCACCACATGTAAAACTGTGTTTTTAAAAATTATCGAATATTTTGTGCTATTAGATTGATGTTTCCTTCTGTATTTCAATAGGTCTCCTTGGGTTTTAAAAAGTTTCGATTTTTTTGTCAACAGATTTTTTTGTGTTTGAATAGCCGAGCTGGAGTTGTTGAATCATGTGTCATATTGACAATAACAATTTCTTTTTGGTTTTCGATTATTTGTTCTCGTATTTCATGTACGTACTAGATGATTCTGCGATACTATTTTTACTATTTGTAGCTTGTATAAGACCAAACAAGGTTTGGATTGGTTAAGCAAAAAGGAGTTCTAAATTTCATATAAATTAATGAGGCTTCGTGTTTCACCAGTAAAAGTTCAATTATGGTCGAATTTGTACACGGAAAATGGTAAAAATTTTTTCTTCATCAATTTTCTGTTGGATCATTCACCGATAAGAAGAAAATGAACATTTTCAGGAAATTCTCCTGAAGGAACATTACATATATGTAAATATTACTAGAATTAGAATCATCATTTGTCTTCATTTTTAACTGTCTTCAAATTTGATAAACTTCTTGAAGAACAACTTTATCAGTTTTAACAGAAATAACCGCAAATACTTTTTGAGAAAAACATTGTACTTTCAGAACGTTAACTTCAACTTTCGTAATGACTGAATTATAAAATAGACTACAATTATCTCCAGGGAAGTTAGCAACATTATAATTTTCAAATGAACTAGAATTCTTCAAATTAATAGCGAGAAGCATTGATTGACGCACTCTAAAAGAAAAAAATTAATTTTGAATGAAATAAATTCCATCAACTTATTACACAACAAAGTTTATATGATATAAAAGCTTGTCGCGAGATCTACCTATTTCATAAAAATAATTGATTTTTGAATTGAAAGGAGTATTTTTTCAGTTGCGTTCCAATTGAAAAAGTGATTATCGTATAATTCAATGTTCATAGGAAACTAGTTGTTTCTAAAGTTCTTTTTCTTTTTTTTAATGTTCGATGTAGTTGTTTTAAAGCAGCTTTTTCTTTCAGTTTGTATACGAAAGTACCTTCTATGCATGATCTTGACATTTCTGTGAAGAGTTTATTTTGACTTGATGGCTTTTTTTCTTTCTTAGAGAGTTTCCCACATTTTTTTGAGGAGTAGAAAACCAAAAAGCCCTTTTTCCAAAAACTTCCAATCCAAACAAGATTCTTATGGCTGAGATTTAATCAAATATGAAGATTTTTACGTGCTGTCATCATAACATGAGTCGATTTGTCTCTTTTGGTGTCATAAACTAATATCATGAAAGAAATGAGTGATTCGTCTCATGTTATCAAATAATATATTGATGAGATTTCTTCTTTCCTATTCTTCTTTCGTTTGAAAGTTTCCCACATTTTTTTATGAAAGTAGAGAACCAAACAGTTTTTTCCCCAGAAAATATAAGTTTCATCTAATGGCGATATTAACTCACTCCACTCACTACGTAGGTGAATCTCTCAAAAAGCGTTTATAATGTAAATTGTGTTATCAATAAATTGATACGTTTTATTTAATATAAAGTTCATTTTTTATATTCAGAGCATGTTAATAAAGTATTAAAGAAATGTTTTTCAAGTTAGAGATAAGAGTTCGGACACATTTGTCCGTTGATCTCAAAAATTTCAGTGCAGAAGAAATAAAACATATTTCGAGTAAAACCGATATATATATTCGCCAAGTGGTACCTCAAAAAATCATAAGAATTGTGAGAGGTTGCTGTAACAAAGATCTTGGAAGGCGCTTTCGACTTTGCGAGCTGAATATTCCAGATAATTTCTGAAATTTCAGTTAATGGAACCTGTATAGTTTTCTATAATAAACAAATATACTATAGTATGGACTGAAGCGCTTTTTCCACCTGCCATATTTCTCATTAATGGTGCTAAGCTGATTGTGTGAATAACTGATTTTTTGGGTCACCCTGTATGAACTTTGACTCTTGTATTTTACTTCAACTTTTTTTGGTATTGTTCTTCGCAATTCTTGTGTACCCACAGTCACTCAAGGTCAACAATACGATCGATAAGTCAGTTAAAGCGACGACTAAGACAATCTTGTTCTTGCAAGAGATGGGATATAATCTACGTTGGCAATCTGCAAGAGTGAACACACTGCTGTGTCGTGCACATGAATCATTCATTGGCATTTAAATAGTGAGCTTTTGTTCCAATAGATTATAAATCTCTGGCGGATGTTTTGCTTCGAGAAATACTTGAAATATAATGGTCTTTCTTGGTTGAAGGAGTAATTCCTATGGTTATTGGAAAGTTGGTTTAATCGTAAGTACGTATACGTTCGGTTTTTTCAGAATCAATATTAATGCTGAATCGACAGTTTTCAATAGCATCCGTCGCGACATGTAGCCAATGGAATAATTGTGATGCTTCCGAGTATCCGAAAAACACTGTAGTCGCTTTTTGAAGACGACATTTGTACGGAAGCGCAGATGGACCACATATTTTTATTATTTGTTTCTTGGAAATGTCGAGTTTAATCTCGAAATTTCGAGATTGAAGTCGAAACTTCTAGTTTAAAGTCATAATTTCGTGTGAGGACGATGACATTTCCCCTTACAACGACGCCATGATTCAACAACAGACAACACTGTTTCGGCCTGGCATAGGTCTCATTAGTGGTGCTAGGCTGAACCAGGCTGCTAGTTGGACTCAACTGTCCTTAAAGGAGATTCCAAAGTAATTGAGGATGATGTCATCTCCCCTTATGAAGACGACATCTATTGGATCGATAGGGAACTCAATCCTTGAATTCAAAGATAAACGAGGCTCACATCAGTTGAAAAGTCAAGCTTTGACTGTCGACGAGATTCGTCTTCTATCTTCTACTGCAACTTTCACTGCAAGGAACCTAGTTGTAAACTAGAGATATCATGGAAATTTAAAAAGATTTTGACATGACGGTTGTCTGATGTCTTACAGATAGAAGTCTGCAACAAATTTTGCCGATGACTTTTCTCCTCTCACGAATTGTTTGAGCGAGAGAAGCTTTTTTTGCCTGAAAAGGCTAAAAAATTATCTGAGATCGACCTTGAGCTAAGAAAAATTGAACGCCTTTGCTCTTTTTTGCATAGAGTCAGAATTAATGAACAAGATTACTTATGACGATATCATCGATGATTTGGACAACAGAAGTTATTGCAACGAACTTTTATAACTTGACTGAGTTCATTTTTTTAATTGTTCGGAAGCGCAATAAAGAATATTTATTCACGTTTACAAAATGTACCTTATTGTGTGAGTAGAAAACACTACCCCGCTCGTAAATGATTGAGCTTTTGATTGGTTCAAAAATATACTCAAAATTATTTTACCTATAATTTCAACGAAATTGTTGGGATTGTCAAAATAATGTAGGTTATGATAATTGTAGAGGCAAGGGCGGCAAAAACTGTACAGCTTTCACCTTAAAAATGTGTAAATTCGTCACTGCATTTATGATTCAACATCAAACAGCGACTTTAATCTCGGGAATTCGATTTTATACTCGAAATTTTGTCTTTAATCTTGAAAATTCCACTTCAAACTGAAAATTTCGAAATTGAACTCAAAATTTCGAGTCTGTTAGTTACTTTTTCAGTTACTTGATTTTGGTATTGGATGCAGAAGGAAGCCAAGCTTTATTAGTTTCTGGGTTCCTACTGTTTCACTGAAAATGATTTTGTTTTTTATGAATTTTGATGACTCATGCAGTCTTGGGAGTCCTCGGATTAGAAATGATGATTTCATGCTTATATCAATACCGAAGGTGCCTTTAACAACACCTCCACGAATACATCGTGATTAGATTCTGAAAATGGTGAAATATATATGGTGATCTAGGGGATACAGTCAATGTTTACCTACAAGCAGAATCGTATTTACAACT